CAAAGTTTGCCCATGCCTGTGACAGACCATCTCATCTTAGCTGATATAGATATATATACACACACACAGCAACAGGTAATGTTTAAATAAACTGAAAAGGTGTTGCGATTCAGTGTGCCAGCATTGTATGGAAAAAAAGTACTTTCACTGCAGTGTGATGAGAAAAAACGCCATTTAGGATAGGAATGGAGAACATTATCTGGAGCCAATCCAGCCTCCTAGCTAGCTATGCTCCTTTCCCTGCCACATAATAATTTGGTGGTCATTCAGCCTTTACATAGACTTTTCCCCAATTCCAAAAATTAAAATGGTTCTCCTAAGGCTGTTTACTGGCAGTAGAGCTTTAAGATGAAATGAAACACAGCCCTAGAGAACTCTTCTGAAATTGAATTTGGCCCTCAGACTGAGAATGTCCCCTGTCACCACTGCCTCTGAATTATGCTACACACTCCTCCAGGTCCAATACTGCAGGAGTGTGTAGGAGGAGAAATTAGAGGAAAGCCTGTTTTCTAGGATCTATAGTATAGCCCTGTTTACTGGCATTGGGCATTTTGTTTGCTTGTGCCCAGCAAAGGGCATTAGCCCCCCCCCCCCACTTTTCCTTATATCAATCACTACTTCTAGTTGTAAAGCAGAAAGAAAATCGACTTTCTTAGACCTGAATTACACCCACTGCACTGCACAAGTGACAAATTCCAAGTTAAAGGGACAGTGAATGTTCTAAAAGTGCAGACTTGTTCAGCTAACTTTAAATGTCCAATTTCTCTCTTCTCCCATTTTCCTCTTCTGTCAGTTTACTCCTATTCATGCAAATTGGCTTCGAAGTGCAAGAGTAGTTTTAACGCAACAGAGGAAGAGCCAGAGCCTTGTCCTTCCCACTATTTATTTATTTATTGTATCAGAAGTAAACTAAGGGTACAGTTATAATGTATTTGGAAATAAAAACACAAAGTTTAAAAAATTGGCATTATATTAAATGTCCTTTGACCAGTAGCTGGCCACTTGGAGTGCCTCTGGTGTTGCTATAAGGAGGTCCTCCAATGTGCATGTGGCAGGCGACATGAGAGAAGCCTCCCTGCAGAACTGCAACACAACCGGGCGTCATCTGGACAACGTCTTTGAAGACGGCTGATTCTCTCACATCAGAAGCAGCCAGAAGTGACTTGCAGTCCTTCCCACTAAAGGCAATCAAAAGCAAACTGCTGCAGCCTTTCCTACCCTGCCTGCCCTTCATAAGGAACAACTTTTGCCATATAAATCACACATAGAGACTTTCATTTGGCATGTATGTTTGGAAGTTGCACCCCATCACATTAGATCAGTGGTTCTCAACCTTCCAAATGCTGTGACCCCTTAATACAGTTCCTCATGTTGTGGTGACCCACAACCATAAAATTATTATTTTTTGCTACTTCATAGCTGTAATTTTGTACTGTTATGAATCATAATGTAAATATCTGTATTGCTGGATGTATTTTCATTCACTGGACCAAATTTGGCACAAATATCCGATACGCCCAAATTTGAATACTGGTGGGATTGGGAGGGTATTTATTTTATTTTATTTATTTATTTCGTATACTTCTACCCCACCTTTCTCAACCCCCGAGGTGGGACTCATGTAGTTTCTGGAATTTATAATTCACCTACAATCAAAGAGCATTCTGTATTTCACCAATGATGGCATTGAACCAAACTTGGCACACAGAACTCCCATGACCAACAGGAAATAATGGAAGGGCTTGGTGGGCATTGACCTTGAGTATTGGAGTTGTAGCTCGCCTACATCCAGAGAGCACTGTGGATTCAAGCAATGATAGATCTCGACCAAATTTGGCATGAATACTCAGCATGCCCAAATGTGAACACTGGTGGAATTTGGGGAAAATAGACCTTGACATTTGGGAGTTGTAGTTGCTGGGATTTATAGTTTATATACAGTCGAAGAGCATTCTAAACCCCACCAATGATAGAATTGGGACAAACTTCCCATACAGAAACCCCATGACCAACAGAAAATACTGATGGTCTTTGGCAACCCCTCTGACAATCCCTTTGCAACCCCCACCCCCCAGGAGTTATCGACCCCAGGCTGAGAAACACTGCATTAGATGCATGTGATAAGGTGGGGTTCAAGCCTTGAAAGTTCATACCAAATAAAACATTTTAGCCTTTGAGATGTCACAGAGGTAGTTGACTTCTGTTACCAAAGGGCAATGGAGAGGGCACAGTAAATAAGAAGAACGAAAACATTTGGTGATTTTGTCATCGCTTTCCCAGCTGTTTGACAGGAGCAAGAGAAATTGATTGAGAGACAGAGAGAGAGGTTGCTTTGGAGCATCACAACCATTTTCATCCAAATGGAGTTGTGTCCCCAGGTCACCAGGGGGAGAAAGAGACAACGCGGTTTATCACAATTTCAGTCAAATGGTAAAATAGCCAAAAGGTGGCAATTTTCTCTATTCTGCTGAATTTAACAATACAAAGTCCTCAAATGTTAGGCTTGTTACCAAGGTAACAGAAGGCACCATATGGATCCAAGGCCTTGATAGCAGCATAGCATAGCTGTCTGGGGAGGGAAAAAATAGATGTATTTAGTTAATCAATGCATTCACACTGTGATTTCCAAGGGATACTAGCTTTTCTGTGGTACTTTTTAAGTCAAACTTTTCATCTGAGCCATTATTTCACCATCATCTCCACACCTCAGTGGAAGACCATTTGCATCCCCAGCAGAAAGTACAGAAATGAGGCTGTTTTTGCATCCCATGAACATCTACCCACAACTTCTTGTTTCTGGCCACCATTTTAAAAAAAATGTCACATATCTCTCCTCTAAGCCTCTTCCTTGCATTGCTCTCCTCTGAGCCTTTTCCTTGAATTGCTTACCTATATGATTTAAATGACACCTTTTCAAATTTCTCCTTCTTGACTTTTCCTTTCTATCCAGGATATTGCCCATCCCTGATAGACTGCATTGCTTTCATATTGTATTGCTCAGGTTTTTCTTTCAATTTTCTTCAACTCCAATATATCACAGATGAAAACCAGATGTGGGCAGCTAGGCAACATCAGACTGAAAACTGGAGAAGGCTCCTCTAACTTTTATATGAAAAAGGACACTTTGGGTTGCTGTGAGTTTTCCGGGCTGCATGGCCATGTTCCAGAAGCATTCTCTCTGACATTTCACACACATCTATGGCAGGCATCCTCACAGTTTTTAAGGTCTGTTGGAAACTAGGCAAGTGAGGTTTATAAGTCTGTGGAATGTTCAGGGTGGGAGAAAGAATTCTTGTCTGCCTGAGGCAAGCGTGAATGTTGCAATTGGCCAGCTTGATTAGCCTTGCAGCTTCAAAGCCTGGCTGCTTCCTGCCTGGGGGAATCCTTTGTTGGGAGGTGTTAACTGGTCCCGATTTATTCTTGTCTGGAATTCTCCTGTCTTCTGAGTGTTGGTCTTTAGTTACTGTCCTGATTTTAGCGTTTTTAATACTGGTAGCCAGATTTTGTTCATTTTCATGGTTTCCTCCTTTTTGTCCATTTCATCCATTTGTTCATTTTCATGGTTTCCACAGAAAACTACAAAATGGTTTCCACAACAAAGGAGTCCCCCAGACAGGAAGACGCCAGACTTTGAAGCCACAAGGCTATGTAATGCCAATCAAGCTGGCCAATTGCAACGTTCACACTTGCCTCAAGCAGACAAGAGTTCTTTCTCCCACCCTCGACATTCCACAGATATATAAACCCCATTTGCCTAGTTTCCAACAGACCTCAAAACCTCTGAGGATGTCTGTCTTAGATGTGGGCAAAACGTCAGGAAAGAATGCTTCTGAAACATGGACATACAGTCCGGAAAACTCACAGCAACCCAGTGATTCTGGTCAGATTTTTGACAACACAAAGGACACTTTCCTCTTATACACAACCTTTACATGTAGACAAGCCCCCTGCAGTTTTCACTCTGACAACCCGAGACTGTGGTCAAAAGAGTTTGCTTAGATGAAGAGGGCAAAAGTCATTAGAGGGGAATAACTATTTTATGCATGTGCTGACTTTTAGAGAAGCCCAAAAAGAAATAGCCAAATTAATCTATTGGGAAATCCTCTCCACTCCACTCCATCTTGCTGACTTTTGTTCTTTGAACTCATTTTGTAGTAATTAAAGTAAAATGAGGATAAAGGCGAAACGCTAGAGGAGGGGAAATAAACTGGATTATTTTAAAAGTAGCCAAGGAGATAGGATAGCAGGTGGTGAACTGATTATAAGTCCCAAACTGGGACAGTTGGAGGGTATGAATTGCATTCAGCAAAGAGATACTTGGACATATATTAATCTGCTGGAGTAACTGGAGTAATTTGGTAGACTTATTACATTTTGCCCACATGGACCTTGTAGCTCACACTCACCATGCAGTCGCTTTTGGCTGTCCCCACAACATTCTGGAACTTCTAGTTCTTTTCACAAAGTAAACTGTTCCAATGCCCACTTTCCTCTACCTTCCGTGTCCCTTTTTCTTATGCCAGAATATAGAGTTAGGGACAACCTTAGACCTTTCAGGCCAATACAGCATTTAGAAACTTTGAGGTTCTTTTTAAGTGGACAGTAATGGAGGAAAGGGGGGAAAGTCTTTGGTTTATGATAGGGTGGAACCTTGGCAGAATATTTTTATTCATAGATTAGATGTGTCAGTTAGTAATGTGACAAATTAAATATCGCTATGTCAATAAACTTGGTTTTCTTCCATAATACAAAATACAGAATTTTATGAATGTTCTTTACCAAGTGATCAAATTTCCAATGGTAATGGATGAGGTCTTCCCTTTGCAGAACACAAAATGAGAAGGAAGGGTGGGAGCCAAATATCATGATTTTCACATACACCTGGACTTGAAAGTTGATTCCCAGCACACTGCTCTTGAGTGCAGTCAGGCTGGCATAATATAATTTGCCCTTGACTGGAAAAGAAAATCACACTCACAAAAGGGGAAGACGCACAAAACTAAAAATCAACCACCTTTTTAATTATTTCAGAAATACAATCTATGAGAAAGGAAATAATAAATATTCAATACTAAATAATAAATGGTAAGAAAGAGTTTTGCTAAGATGAAGTCGTCAACCACACTTTGGGTTTTCACAAACTGTCCTTCAGTCTATCTGGAGACCTGGAGTGAGGCGCCATCCTTCAGATTACTTCATTAATGCGGTACAGCCAGTTTGTTGCAGCTTAGGATCATTTGGTGGAACAGACATGTTGGCTTTCATAGTGGCAGAAGCAGCTAGTTAACATTTCACAGCGTGGTCACCTACGATTACTCTTCAGGCATCAGCAAGACCAACGGCTGGCAATACACTGGGAATGAGCATTGCTAGGAAGCACCACCAAAGTGCCTGCCAATTGCATTTGGCACTCCTGACTCCGGCAAATTCCCTCCACTTCTCCCTTCAAGGGACTCTGTTTAGGAGTGCTTCCTCTTCTTGATGGCTTCTGCTTTGACCGCCAAGCTCTTTGCACAGATAGTCAGAACCACAATGAGGACACCGACCAGGAACGTCACCATTGGCCAAAGGAAGCAGTGCAAAAGGACAGATTCGTCATGGGTGCGCCGTAACAGTACGTCATCTGGCCTGCAAGAAGAATAGAAATGAAATGAAAGAAGGGTTGGAGAAATAAAAGCCACATGTGAAAAGAAAGCAACTGCATATTTTTAAAAGTCAATAGGGTTTATACTTTTTGCAATATATTGTCTGCAAAGGCATTCCAAAGCCTACCAACTCCCATTATGTGCTGGACTACCATCTCTATCATTCCAAACTACACTGACCAATAGCTGTGCAGGGCTGAATGATGGGCGCTGCAGTACAGCATATCTAGAGGGTCCTTGGGTTCGGAAAGGCTTGTCAGTAAGAAACATCCATGTCATTTGATGATCAGCTCAATGACCATCAGATGGCCACAATAAGAGATCTGTTTCATTTCACTTGCTATTTCAATCTGCCCAAACAGAAAAGCCAGAATTACTGCACATGATTTCATTAAGGATGTAAGAGAAAAAAACTTCCATATGAGTGACATTACCCAGTTGTTTTGGAAATCTAGCCCAACATCCTTGACAAGAGCTAAAAACGAAGAAGACCAACAGGTGACATTATTGGAACTACATAAGCACCACTGCTTTAAAACAATGAGCCTTGAGTACATATATGTGCACGGAACTTGTTTATTGTGGTACAGTTTGCTTTAACTCATGCAACAGCTTTTTTTGGTCGTGTCAGGAGCAACCGCTCCTGTTGTGAGAGAATTGGCCGTCTGCAAGGATGTTGCCCAGGGGATGTCCGGATGTTTTGATGTTTTACCATCCTTGGGGGAGGCTTATCTCATGTCCCTGCATGGGGAGCTGGAGCTGACAGAGGGAGCTCATCCGTCTCCCCGGATTCGAACCTGCGACCTGTTGGTCTTCAGTCCTGCCAGCACAGGGCTTTAACCCACTGCGCCACCGGGGGCTCCAACAGCTGCCTAGCTATGACATGCAGCAGCTACCTAGCTATGACATAGGCTCCTATTGCAGGTGCAATTGTCTCAACGGCTTTTGGTGCTGGGAGACTTCAATATCCATGCCGAGACGACCCTCACAGGAGCGGCTCAGGACTTCATGTCTGCCATGGCAACCATGGGGCTGTCCCAACAAATATCTGGCCCCACCCATTGTGCTGGACACACATTGGACTTGGTTTTCTGTCAGGGATGGGAGCAGGGTGGCGGTGTGGAGGAGTTGTCTATCTCTCCGTTGCCATGGACTGACCACTTCCTGATCAGGTTTAGGCTCACTGCGCCCCCTAACCTCCGCAAAGGTGGAGGACCCATTAAGATGGTCCGCCCCAGGAGGCTTATGGATCCGAACGGATTCCTGACGGCTCTTGGGGATTTTCCCGCCACCTCGGTAGGTGACCATGTCGAGGCCTTGGTCGCTCTCTGGAATGGGGAGATGGCCAGGGCAATTGACATGATCGCTCCGGAATGTCCCCTCTCAAGTAGCCGAGCTAAACCAGCTCCTTGGTTTACTGAAGAGCTGGCAGTGATGAAGCGAAGGAAGAGGGAACTAGAGAGCGTGTGGCGTTCGGACCCAAGCGAATCAAATCGAGCACGGTTTGTGTCCTTTTTAAGGGCATATGCCGCGGCAATAAAAGCCGCAAAGAAAACTTTCTTTGCGGCCACTATTGCGTCTGCAAAAAACCGTCCGGCGGAGTTGTTTCGGATTGTCAGAGGTCTTTTAACTCCCGCCACCTCAGGCGGGAGCCCTGACAATTCGGTCACGCGCTGTGAAGCATTTGCTCGGTTCTTCGCAGACAAAGTCGCTTTGATCCGTTCTGAGCTGGACACCATGTTAAATGCAGTCTCTGTGGATGTGACAAGAGCACCTGCTTGTCCTATTTTGATGGATTCTTTTCAGTTTGTGAAACCCGAGGATGTGGACAAGATACTTGGAGGACTGAGGCCCACCACGTCCATCCTAGACCCCTGCCCATCCTGGCTTCTGAAGGGGGATGAATGGGCTGTAACCGACAGGGAAAAAATGCTGAATTGTGCAGGCAATCTTGCATGCATCAACTAAGAAGTACAGTAAAGTTCTCACTTATCTAACCTTCACTCATCCAACGTTCTGTATTATCCAACACAGTCTGCCTCCCGCCACAGATGTTTCAATACATTGCAATGTTTTGGTGCTAAATTCATAAACACAGTAATTATGACATAACATTACCATGTATTGAACTGCTTTTTCTGTCAATTTCTTGTAAATCATGATGTTTTGGTGCTAACTTTGTAAAATCATGAAGTAATTTGACGTTTAATAGGCTTTTCCTTAATCCCTCCTTATTAGTCAACATTTTCGCTTATCCAACGTTCTGCCGGCCCGTTTATGTTGGATAAGGAAGACTCTACTGTATATCCAAAGCACAAAGTAACTGCCCTGCATAACATTATTTTTCCCTTACTATGAAATCTGTATTTCAATTTGGATTTATTCATTGTTTGTCATACCAGAGAATAAACGGGCACCAAGACCACAGATGCAAAACTAACAGATGCTCTATTCTGTAAAAGAGAGCTGTCTACTTAGAAAAGGTCCGCTACACCAGCAGGTAATTATTCCATGATGGATAACCTCAGGGTGCAACCTAGTGCTCCACTGATGCTCATTATCTGTCAGATGCTTTCATCTGCCAAACCCTACACAAACATTTGTGTACAGCACTTTATCCTGGCACAGGATACAGGAAAGCATCACTCAAAAATGATACAGCTGCCAAGTCACAATGGAAAGCAAACACTGGGCTTATTTTAGCACAATACTCCTAAATGACAGTGTTAATCACCTGTGGAACTGTTTTCTAAAATGGCAAAGGCAGCACCTGCCCAATTGTTTCCCTTGAACACACAGAATTTCACTCCTTATCAGGATACTTGCCTGAACATAATGGGGGCACACCTGTTCAACACCAATTATATTAATGCAGCAGTAGTATTATATTTCAATATCCTGGGGTGAGGACAGGGCAAGTTAGGAGCCACAGATAACTCGAAAGAACCCGCCTTTTGCCCCCCAATTTGCATAGCCTGGAAACCTCAAAGCTCCCAGACTTTCAATATTTTTTAAAAAAATCACATTTTTGCCTCCATACCACAAGAAGGAATTATGTTGACAGTTGGTTGCATTTTGGTCAACAGCCAAATGGACCTTATTGTTGTATCCCAGAACAGGAACACCTCTGTCCTTAAACACCACACCATTATAGTAAAATCAGCAAGCAGTTTATTGAAGGATATATGTAAGCAAAGCAATAAAAATGATACAAACAGTATAGTACAAAATAATATATTACAAAGGCAACAGATAGTCCATGAACTTCAAGGTTAAAACACAAGATCCAAGGGTGCAAAATCCAAAAGAACAAGACAGCATGGAGATCCAATACCCTGAACAGGACTGGCAAAACTTGAAACATGAAACTAGAAATCCACTTGGAGACAAGATGGTCATGAAATTTCAATGTTGACCACACTGAGCTAAAATCCTTTCCTTGTCTCATATAAAGCTCTTCTCTAATAGACAGGCTGACCATCACCAAGCTTGGGAACTTTCTCTTAATTTACAAAAGTCTTGTCTTCTATCTTCAATCTCATTAATTTCTGCACCTGACAAATCATCCTCAAAAGAAAGTTCCTCAGAGAAAAGCTGCTGTGGGCCCCTTTCAGGAATTTGACCTTAAGAATCTACAGGAGAAGCACTCTATTCATGAGAAACCTCAGGCCTTTCAGCAAGGCCAGAACTAGGCCTTTCAACAAGGCCAGGACTTGACAACTCAGGCCCAGGAAAACCATCATCTCCATTGACACAATCACAGGCTGAACTACAACAATGATATCACTTCCAGTTGCACAAGGACTGACAATTTAGCCCAAAGGGAGTTGTGGGACAATGGACCATCCTAAATCACAAACCTACTGACTTGAAACCCACTTCTTTTTTCCCAATCGCTCCCTCTTCTCCAACAAATATCCAGCAGGTGGGCACAACATGGTCCTTCCATGATAAGATCATGTATTGAAAAAACCAAACTGGCAGGTTCATCAAACTAAGCCCGAGGTTTTGAGTACTTAAGACTTAAAAGTCTGAGTTCGTATCCCTTAGCATTTAATCACCGTATTTAATTAGGGCTTTCTCCACTGTGTTGTTTTTGTTGTTGTTGTTGTTGTTGTTGTCATTGTTGAGGCTAGCCATCCTTATCACCTTTGTGCAGCAAGTATTCTCTATCTGAGAACACTGAACATACTCAATTCAGTCCATGTGAATGATGGAGAATTTTGTTATAAAGACCAAATATGAAAGAAAGTGAAATTGACAGTCTCCCCCACCTATAAGGACTAGAAGCACAACCTGCCCTCTTAATGAATAGTAGGGCTTTTCTCCTTGTAAGGCCTTTATATTCACTCAAGCATATGTATGGCATTACTCATAGACCTCAAACAGCAGTATAACAATGAAATATGACATATCCATATTTTCTAAGTTTGAAAGCTGTGGAAATCCGCCCCCCCCCCCCTATAATTTGGATATAGTAAGGGTAAATGAATAGAGGTAGCATGGTTTAATGGTTTGAATGTTGGATTAGGGCACTGAGAGAACAAGGTTTGGACACCTGCTCAACCACAGAAATTTACTGGGTGATCTTGGACAAGTCAAATGCTCTCAGCCTAAAGGAAGGCAATGGCAAATTTCCTCTGAATATATCTTGCCAAGAAAATCCTGTGCTACAGTTGCCATAAATCAGAATTTACTTGAAGGCACAGAACAATAACAGAGCTACCAGACAGAGGCCAGCTGAATACCATTGGAAGCCCTGCACAATTTAGAGTTGAAATAGAAAGGACACTTCCTGCAGTCTCTATGGTTCTGTTCTCCTTTGTTAACCAACATGTCTGGGTAATAACAGGCTGGCACTGCCTGCATTCTAAACCCTGCAAACCCCATTGCTGCCTCCAATAGAAAAAGCAGTTAGTTATACTGTGCAGGTTTTTGTATGGGCATTCACTCAACTGTGATAATGCATTTTAGTGATAAATACCCTTCTCTCTTCTTTTTATATAGCTACATGATTGCAAAAGGAAACCTTAGCTAAAGGCAAAAACACTAAAGTACTAAGTTTGTATTTGCCAATAAAATGTTCCTTTATATAAAATACTAGCTGTGCCCTGCCATGCGTTGCTGTGGCCTATAGTAAAACTTATCAAAGTTGAGGTAGATATCTGGACTATTATGAAAGAGAGGTCCCTACCTATTCCTTCTCCCTTTTCCTCCCCCTTTCTCTCCTTTCTTCCTTCTCTACCTCTTTCTTTCTTTCTTTCTTTCCTTCTTTCGCTCTTTGGTTTCATCCTTCTCTCTTTCCTTCATTCCCTCCCCCTTTCTTCCTTTGCCTTTCTTCCCTCCCTGTTTGCTTCCTTCTTTCACTTTTTATTTCCTTTTATTTCACCACCATCATAACAATAACAATAATGCAATGCATTGCCTCTGGGACCTGACACCTCTCCCATTCCCCTT